CTCCCCCCTCAGGTTAGTTTTCTTTTCTCAATGCAAGTGAATTGGTACTCTTGTTCCTATTGCTGCCAATATTTCAAAATATCAAGTATGGATAATCAAGAAGCCTCTTTTGGAGTTCACAAACACATCTCTGCCTGTCGATGAATGTTCTTTTTGTTTATCCACAATTCATCTGTTTGTTAATCAGGTCATGGTGGATTTCGAGATCGTGGGAGGGGTTATGGTGGTGGACGGCCATGGAGCTGATTTTGAAACTCCATGACTTCAAACAATTATTATTCCTGCAATCACATGCTTGATATAGCTACTTATGCACTGCGTTGCCATTGCAAAAGTAGGCATGCGCAATATTACCAGTTAACCCTTTGAACAGATCCATCTACTGGCACTCTTACTAACACATGACAGGAAGAAGGTGACAGTTCTCTGGGATTTTGATGTACAAGAAAGTTTTTCATTTTTCTCCCAAACGAAAAATGTTCGAGTCGACGTGTATTTAGGAGACGAATTGTTTAAATATGCTGCCTGCAGTAGTAGTACTGTATTTATGATATTTTCTAGTGTGTTAGAAAGTAAATCTCCTAATTATTTCTGACCTCTCTATGAGACATTGTCAAAGATTTCTAACAGTGGATGGCATCATCATATCATTAAGAAACTCAGGAAACAGCTAATCTATGTTTTGGACCAACACAATCAGTGATTTATGCAATAATTTGAATTTGAAACAGAGAAGAATGGCTCATGTTTACTCTCAAACCCACCAGAAAGGAGAGAAAAATTATGATAAACGTGAAGAAAGATAAGAGATTGACATGAGAGAAGGGCCTGTCTGATGCCTCAACTTCTGGTTTCAATGAACTAAAAGCTCTGAAATTGGTTTACAAAACAGGAATTTGGTCGACCAAATTCATCATTTTTTCTCCCTCTTTTACTCTCTTGTCGGCCTCATCTCCTAGCTTTAGAATTAGAGTTTCTGTTCGCTTTCTTTTATATTTTAGGTTAAAATATATTTTTTGACTTTGGTTTATAATGATTTAGCCCGACAACAATTTATTTTCTGAACTTTAATAGTATATAACAAAATCCAGTTTTTGTAGTTTGAATTTTGTAACAATTTAGTCATTGTTGAAGAATTTTTGTTAAGATCTAATCAAATTTCTTATGTATGTAGATTGACAAATAGATGAGAACTTTTGTTTTTTTTTTTTTTTTTGAAATAAGATGAAGGACCTAACGTATTTGTAAATAACAAAGATTGAAACGTTTTATGATAAAAATTGACACCTAATTTTAATGAGTTTTTATAGCAGGGATTATATTGTTACAAATTTTAATCTCAATTTAAAAACATAGGGACTAAATCGTTACTCTAATTAGGGTCTAAAAGTATTTTTTAACCTATATTTTAATCGGTTCAAAAGTTTCATGGAATATAAATGGGATTTACATGTTTATTAGATTAACAAGATGTGGAAAAATTTGACTTGAAAAAGTAGCATCATTTTTGTTGAACAGAAATCAAAAAGCAAAAGAGAAATTATATATTTAAGAGGAAACTTAGTCAGCAAGTGTTGTTCCTATTTGCTTTGCTTTGCTTCTGTTGCAAATTTAGTTTGAAGTTAAAGGCTCATTGGAACTTGGAATGTTGATAAACCTTTTACAAAGTTACCTATTAAAAACCAGCCCTTTCATTACTTATATGATATTCATTTTTCAGACACTGAACAGAACATGTTCTGTCTTTTGTTTTGCTAAGATTTTGCCTAAACACCCAAGTGCAAGATTTGAATAGCTTAATAGGTACTGTTGGGAGAGAGAATGATTTTTTTTAAAGTCATCTTTTTTTTCCATCTTTTCCCCTCGTAATTTAGTCCTCAAACTTTAAAAAGTGTTTAATATGTCTTTGAATTTTCAAATTTACCTCTAATATATTAGCAAAGAGTAGATTTATAGCGTTCCTCTAAGTATTTTCCTTCTATTTATAGAGGGAAAAATCTAGAGTCAATAGGTATCTTCTCGAGAATTTAGGAAAAATCTAGAGTCAATAGGTATCTTCTCAGCCAAAAGCATGACAGCTTTCACTAATGTAATGCAAAGTCAAATGATAGGCTCTAAGTTAATTAATGTGTATTATATGTTTATAGTTTATACAAAGTAATGCATCAATAATAAAAAATCATCCCATTCCCCAGAGCTGTAGGCTCCTTTTGAGGCCAATAAAGAAGCATTTTCCCAAGCTTTCTATGAGATTCTCAAAGATATGAAAGAAACTTTTTAAAATGAAACAAACAAATTGGAGAGAGAAAGGAGATGAGGTCCAAAGAGAGTTTTGATGACATGATCATGATATCTGCCAAACAATATGCATTTAGAGACTTAAATATACATACCCAATAAGTTCTTGAAAATAGTTTTTTTTTTCTTTAAAAAAAGAAGAAGAAGAGAGAGAGAATGTGAAATATTGGTCATAAAAATGAGCATAAGTCAAGGAAAGGGTCAAAGGGAGATCTTTGAATGTGCTAGGGAAATGGGTTGGATACAAAACATTTTATGGGCAATGATGTCCAAATTTCTCTTTATTTTTATATAGAAAAATACCTTTTATTTCCCATCACATAGTCATAGAGTGGCACATGCAACCTCTAGAGAGACCTTCTTCTTTCTTTTTTTATTCGAACTATACGTACATAAGATAGTTGAGCTATATTCAGATGGATAAATGCACTATTTATTGCTAATTTTGATGAGACTTTTGGACCATCTATTATTACACTACTCTGTTTAAAGTCTCTCTTCGGAATCGCCTCCTTGATGTGTTCGGCGTCTCTCTCACTCCACGAATACATTGAGGATGTCATCAAGGAGGTGCTATCTCCTCCCACCGGTGCAATATGCTTTGGGGTAATGCAGTGGTTTTCTTTATTATGGTTCATTTGGTTGGAAAGAAATCATGGACTCTTTTCAAATGCCTCTAAATCAGGTTTTCATATTTAGAAAGGTATCAAGGTATTAGCATATTTGACATGGTCTTCGAAATCCAATCTCTCTTCGGAGTACTTTCATCTAGCCTCCCCTTTTATATCTTCCTCCCATGTCCAATATATTGGTTGAGTATCTTTTTTTAGAAAAAATAAAAAGGTTGACAGAGAAAGAGAGACTATTTATCATAGGAACTTGCCACCTCTCCGAGAATTTATTTTAGACCACAGATAAAGAAAAAACTCTTTTGATAAGGTTTTTCTTTCAATAAAAAAATTGTACTTTTAGTTTTTGAACATAAAATGAGAAAAGAAATCTTTTCTTAAACCACCTTTTTTTTTATTTATGAAGGTGAAAATATGAAACTTTTAACATGAGAGTTCTAGTTTTTGTCATTATCAAACTCACTTTCATTTCCATTAATAATGCTTGACAAATTAAAAAATTGATTTTGTAAAAACATACAATTAAAATTGATTTTAAGGTATCACTTAGGTGGTGATTTTGAAAAAAATCAATTATTTTTAAATCTTTTTTTTCAAAATCACTCCTCCGACCACCATCACTCCCAAACACACCCTTATACTTTTATTCCAAAGGAGAAGAATATAAACTACTACTCAATATTTTTATTTATAACTACTAACTAGTACGTTCTAATATATATATATATATATAACCATCACTAAAAAGTTAAATGTTGGGGTAGATTTCAGCATACATGTGGCAGGCGATGCGTGGATGTAAAATATGACACGTGGCTCATGGATGTCGCAGAGAACCACCCAAGTCTGCACATCTCGGCTCATCCACCAGACTGAGCCGAATCCCTTCTGTGGCCGAGCCGAACAAGCTTGTTAGAGATCGCGTTCCCATGTTATTGGTTGAGCCGACTGGCTTACCTCAGCTCGGTCACGCCTCCGACACACTCCACGACAACACGTCGCATTTCACGGTAACCTTAAAGAGCCGTTGAAGCCTTGTCGGGAACACTGTTGGGGTCTTTGCCTATAAATAGATCAACCATTCCGTTCATTTGAAGGTACGCAAACATTTCCATTCTCTCTCAATTTAGTTCGGACTTTCACTGACTTTAGCATCGGAGTGCTCACTCTGTTTTGCAGGTCTCCTACATGATATTCGGAGTTCACTGTCCAACTCATCCAATTCGAACCGACGTTCTGGGACTTGGTCAATTTCTTGATTCAACATTAAAGATACTTATTCTAGAAATAGAATAAATTAAATGGAAAGAAAAGATAGAAGGGCGATTAAGTTTCACTCTAGTGATTGATTATTGGCTCAAAACATGTTTAACGGATGACAAATTTTCCTCACATATACTATATAGACCACTATCCCAAAGCATCATCTCTCAAGAGAAAAAATGAGTGTGTTAATGTATATACTTTATTAACTTTTTGGATCCCTAGATTATTATTATTTGAAAATTTAATTATCTCTACTTTATATTATTAATAGAGTAAAAAATATTTAATCTCCACGAAAAGAATAGATGATCTCCCCGAAATGAGTAGATTATCATTTACCGATGAGTTATATTCTTATTGGTCATCAAAATAAATACTCAGCTAGTAAAAAAAAGACGTGCAAGATTTGACCAACAATAACTCTGCATAACAAAACCCTAATTATGATTAACTAAACCTTATATATATATATATATGTAATAAAGCACCAAAGTTAAGATATATATATATAAAAAGAAGAACATAAAGTTGGGTCGATAAGTACTCCATTTGTAGTGGCAGCTTGGGCGGCTTCTCGTGCCTTCATGTGAATGTGAGATTAAATAATCTCTGATCTCTCTCTCTCTCCCCGCGTGCCCAAAACCCATGCAAATTCATATGCAAAATCACCCAAAAAAGAGAAAAAAAAATTGATAAAAAAGTTGAAGAGTGGTGATCATATGATTCTTCATATTTATATATAAAACCCCACAGAGAGAAAAAAAAAGAGAGAGAGAGAGATCAAAAGGTTCACAGTAGTATTGCAAATCCCAAACAAAAATACAGAGTAAAAGCTTCATCCAAAAATGGATTCTTTGTTGATTTTTGTGCAGCTCATCACAGCTGCAGCTCTCATATCTTCCACATTAATCATAATCTTCCTCCTCACCTTTAAGCCCAATTCACCAGCTTCAAACTCCATCCCTTCGCTTCCTTCGGGCTCCCTTGGTCTCCCCTTCATCGGCGAAACCCTCCAGTTCGTTTCTTCCGCTTACTCCCACCGCCCCGAAAGCTTCATGGATAGACGTCGCTGCTGGTGAGTTCTCTTTCACTGCAAGAAAAATGCCCTTTGGCGATGAAATATTTTCGTCGTTGGACTCAGCCAGCGAAGAAATGGTTTTGACATAGGCTTGGTTGCTGGAGCGGTGTCGCAATCGTACTCCAGCAACAAAAAAGCGACGAAAGCACGTTTACGTCGTTGTGTCGACGAAATATTTTGTCACTAAAGTGATGGAAGCATGTTTCGTCGCTAAATGGACAAAAAGATTTTCGTTGTTGGGATTCTACCTGCCTCTATGTTTGAGAATTAGGAGTTCATGCTTCCTTCCATTCTGGTATCATGACTTTATAGATATTTTAAATCACCTCTGAACCTAAAAACTTAAGTCGATACTCAAATTCTTAACGTTTGTTATTTCGAGTGTGTGTTTTACAGGTATGGGAAGGTTTTCAAGTCACACATATTTGGAAGTCCAACAATAGTTTCAACTGATGGTGAAGTGAGTAGGTTTATTCTGCAAAGTGATGCAAGGACTTTTGTGCCATGTTATCCAAAATCTTTGACAGAGTTGATGGGGAAGTCTTCAATTTTGCTCATCAATGGCAGCTTGCATAGGAGAATTCATGGCCTTATTGGAGCTTTCTTCAAGTCATCTCATCTCAAAGCTCAATTAACCAAACACATGCACAAATATCTTCAAAATTCTATCTCTATTTGGACTACTACATGTCAACACAATCCTATCCACATACAAGATGAAGCCAAAAGTGTACCTTCTGAAATCTCTCTAATACTAATTTAATTTACTAATTTAATTTTCTATAATCTATCCGCTTAAGTTTTTGGATCTTAAATAACGTCATTTCGTCCTCGTATTGAGTCTTATGCATGTATCTTTAGTCTATGGGTGAAGCAGAAGTATTCAAATTTAACATCGTTTGATAACCATTTTGTTTTTAGTTTTCTATTTTTAATAACTATTTTGGCTTCTTCACAATTTTTGGTAAGTTTTTATGTTTTCAAAAATACATTTGAATTGTGACCTAAATTAGAAAAAATAGAAACAAGTTTTAAAACTATTTTTTTTAATTTATCTTAGATTTTGAGAAAGTTTTAAAAAGTAGATTACAAAACAAAGAAACGCACCGGTGAAAATAATGTTTATAAGCTTAATTTTCAAAAATAGAATACTAAAAACAAAATGGTTATAACCTTTTGTTTGAGTTCTATCAACGTAATTACGAGCCTTATTTGACTTTTTTTTTTTTTGAGTTCTATCAATGTAGGGTACCGTAAAATCTAATAACCGATAATAGATGTCTTATCTACTAATGTTCTTGATTCGCTATTTTATTCGGCTGTTGAAATTAAATCTTATTATTTTCTTAGCAACCCAATTTGTTTTCGATAGAGGGCAAATTTTGCTTTTTCATTTGAAACATGGGGGTGACAATAATTTTGTTCTGAATCATATTGTCCAAGAACTAATTAACATTCATAAACATAATCATTGGTCAAATCTTTTCAAAAGCCCATAGCCTTAATTTTTTAAACTTTTTTTCAGATTGCCTTTGAAGTTCTAGTGAAGACACTGATCAGTTTGGACCCTGGAGAAGAAATGGAATTTCTCAAGAAACAGTTCAAAGAATTCATTGCTGGCCTTATGGCTCTCCCAATTAACATCCCAGGAAGCAGACTCTACACATCATTACAGGCCAGTTTCATTGGTTTTGCCTTCAATTTTGTTCTCTTAAAACTTGTCTTCACAACATCAATCATTTTTTGGCTCAAAATTTTTGTCCTCAGGCCAAAAGGAAAATGGTTAAGTTTGTGGAAGAAATAATACAAGCCAGAAGAAAGCAAAAGATGAGTGAGAGTTTGAATAATAATAACAAGGTCCCAAAAGATGTTGTGGATGTTCTGCTGAATGATGGAAGCCATGAAATTACAGATGATTTAATAGCTGAGAATGTCATTGATATGATGATTCCAGGCCAAGATTCAGTCCCAATCCTTATGACTTTGGCCATAAAATACCTTTCTGATTGCCCCGCCGCACTTCAACAATTAAGGGTACGTCAATCGCATTCTATCGTTACGTTTTATTACGTCGATGAATTAAGTGATCCCTTTTTAGAATATACACGTTTGGGTGAAGATTTGAACTTTCAATCTTGTACTAATGTGTTTATTATAAAAGTCTCACCTTTTAACACTTGATAACGCTTATAGAAGGTTTGTTTTTTTTTAAATCTGTTTTTGAGTTTAATAAAGAGCTATGACCTTTTGAAAGGTAAATAATATCGATATTTACAAAAGGGGCTAGGGTGAATTGATAGAGAATTAGTTTAAACCACATAATGATCGACGTTTCTTAAGAATTAATTCCTATATATTTTTCGACATCAAATGTTATAGTATCAGACATATACGATTAGTCGAGGTACGTGTAAGCTGGTCCAGACACTCACCGATATTGAAAAAAAGTTAGGAATGGAGTATAAGATATTTCTCCCTCCTATTTTATTTGTCCAAATATAGAAATGGGAATGTTTGAATTTGATTTTAATTAGTATTTTTGCTTTCTCCATGTATAATTAGCGTGTTTTATTTGATAGCGATTGTTTCTGACATTTGGGTGACAGCCACATCAATAATAGAGAAATAGCTCTCTCTCTCCACTCCCCAATAATTATGATGATATCTTTTTTTTTCCTTCTTTCTTTTTCATGATACTCTTATTTTTACAAAAAGGTTAGAAAAATAAAATTACGTAAATTATTATTAAAAGATCATGTGAAAGACAGACGGATATATTCATGAATGTGGAATGTGCCCAACAATGATTCTTTTCTTGTCTTATAAGGACATTTCAACGGTAAAAAAAAAACAATAACTTTATAATTTTTATCTTGTAGTGGAATCTCTAAACCCAACCATCTCTTATTTTAGCTTCTTTTCTTCTTTTTGATTGATCATTTTTCATGGGCAGGAAGAAAACATGGAGTTGAAAAGACAGAAAACTCAGCTTGGGGAGTCATCCAAGTGGAACGATTACTTGTCATTACCATTTACACAAAATGTAAGATCGATGATGATTATAAATAAATTATAACAGTCCCCAAAGGATAGTTTGGGTGGCTTGGAGCCTCAAGGAATAACCTTGAGGTCTTGGTCATGCCACATGGGACGCAACTTCCACCAAACAATGATTCCTTGCATATGTATGGGTATAGGGACAAATTATACTTGAGTTCAGGTTCAAACTAAATAATATCATATCAATGTATTGCAACGTATTGCAACGATAATAATGGAAGATGTTTATTTGGCAATATTTAGGTTATAATGGAGACGCTAAGGATGGGAAACATTATAACGGGAGTGATGAGAAAGGCCATGAAGGACATCGAGATAAAAGGGTATTTAATACCTAAAGGGTGGTGTATCCTTTTATATTTTAGGTCAGTTCATCTCGATGAAAACCACTTTGAAAGCCCTTACCATTTCAATCCATGGAGGTGGCAAGTAAGCCCTAATTGCCCTAATTTCCATTTTTGGTTCATAGCATTATTTTCTGTGGTTAAGGGACAAAATCAATGGTGGATTTTCAGGATAAAGACTCAAATAACCCCAACTTCACTCCTTTTGGAGGGGGGCTAAGGTTGTGCCCTGGGCTTGAATTGGCCAGACTTGAAGCTTCCATTTTCTTACACCATTTTGTCACTGAATTCAGGTAACAAACACACACGTTATTCATATATTCGTATGCATTTTCGTCACTGGGATGGCATAGTGGTGAGGACACAAGGTCTTGTAGTATCATCTGCTAATATGAGGTCTTGTGTTCGAGTTCACTATGGTATCGTAAATTTAATATTTTATACATACCTGAACAACTTTGTCTTTAGGGTTTCTGTTTCTACTAACTATTTTTTTTATTTCTTCTAATGCATTGGTTCAAATCAATTATTTTGAAAATATAGGGCAAATTAAGTAACAAAAAAGAGTTTTAAAAAGTCCATTCTTTTCTAAACATCCAATTTATTATCGAACAACTTCCCCCCTTACAAATTATATCTAGTCATGCTTTCAAGTCAACCATTAATTTCTACTCACTGAAATTAGGGTTCTAAGCAAAATCATTAGGGTTTTCAGCAAAATTTCCAAAGTGGGTCAGAAGCAATCAATATAATGTCTAAAACTAATGTGGAAATTGGCCAAAAGACAATAAATCATGCATGAGAAAAGGGGAGCAATCAAGTGATAACTTTTTTCTGGAAAAAAAAAAAGAAGAAACTCATGAAATAATAATGGAGTGCTGAAATTTACATCAAAAAAAAAAAAAAAGAAGAAGAAGAATTTGTAGGAATTATTATTATTGTGGGTCAGCTTTGAGTTGAATTGAATGGTCAAAAAAACATTGCAATCTTTTTTTTTTTCCTAGTTGCTTCGACCACATATGTTTGACTGATTGATTGGAAAATCCTAAAGAGATGTTGGACTCAGACCAAATTAAATTGGTTGGATCTGAATCTTACATGAATCCTTCTCTCTGTCTTCTGCTGTCCTTTTTCTTTTCTCTGTCTCTACACACACGTGCAAGGGGAGACATGTCATTTTCTTCACACGTGCAGGTGGCAGAGGACAGAGAGAGGAGTTTCTTCCTCATGTAACTTCTTGCAACACATATAATTAGGTTTCGTTTGAGAAGAGAGTTTCGTTACACATAACTTCGATACATATGATTAGGAGTTTCAGTTTTGTTTGAAAGGAAACTTGGTTAATTATGTACCAGATTAGGGTTTTGTTTGAAAGAAACTTCCTTACTTTTAATTTGTTTGAGAGAATGTTCTGTGTATATATATATTGAGTTCAATAATTTTGTAGGGTGAGGGTCGAAACTATCAACACTTTAGGAGTTCAATAGTTTTGTAGGGTGAGGATCGAAACCATCAATACCTTTAGGAATTGTGGGTATATAAGATTTATATATCTATCTCTAATATGTAGTTATTCCCATAAAGGTGAGATTTTGTTTTCTATTTCTCAATAGGACAATATCATCTCACGTAGAGGAAAAAACTTCCCTCCGATTCAAAAGGAAGATCTTCCTGAATTTCTATGTGGTCTAGTAGCATATAGACAGGTGGATGACATAGGAATTATATAGAATTCAAAAATCCATTTGTTTATATGTTAGTGGACCAAGCATGAATTCAGGAGGAGCTTCCTCCTAAATCTTCAGGAGGGAAATTTTGTCCTCACATAAAAGGGGTCGTAGTTCAATTAGGATAAAACTTGGCTCCTCATTAGTAAGGAGCAACTTTGTCTTTACCATTATTGAATATTATTTATTTTTACATTTCTTTCTTTTAATTATCAAATATTCAATGATAGAAAGGACACGGTTGCTCCTTACTAGTGAGGAACCAAGTTTTATCTTTACTATCCCCAAAGATCAATGATTTGAAAAAAGAATACGTAACATTTATTTATTTTTTTAACATAAACATATGTGTGTGTATGTTTATTTATTTATATATCCATAGTTTATTTATGATCATATATTGATCTTCTTAATTTTAATTTGATTAGGTGGGTGGCTGAGAAAGACACTGTTATCAGCTTCCCAACAGTTAGAATGAAGAAGAGAATGGCAGTTTGGTTGAAGAGAAGGGAGGGTGACTCTTGAACAAGTTTTCATCCAATTTTGAACATTTTGATCACTTCTCAACCAAAAAAAAAAATGACAAAGAAATAATTGGGACAGACAAAAGAAAGAACATTTTTTTGGTCAAAATGCAAACGTGTGGGTGTGGCCACTTTAATGTTCTTATTTGTCGCCATGGAAAAATGTCTTCATATTGTACAACAAGGTCCAAGTTTTTCCATAGGATTCTTCTCTTTTCTTTATCTTGATTTTTCTGGCCTAGATTGACTATTTTTAGTAGGGATAATATTAGTATTAGAGGTGGAATCTTAAGAAAGAACCAATAATATATATATTCAACAAAAAAATCTCGTCTTTTTCCTATTTCCTTCTACACTTATATTAAAAATGTTATCTATTCCATATATTTAAAAGTTATCTATTCTATATTTCAAAGAATTACTGGGATTTCTCATACTATACATCACACAACAGTTATATATAAACTGTTGCAAGGTTGCCTTTCGCAATGATTCAACGACCGTTTATTGAAAATGTATTGAGAAAATTTCTTATAGTGATTTAGGTTGTTGCTAGAATGATATAACGGAATCGTTGTAGTAGTTATCCTTTTTGCATGGATTCTTCATCTCAACATATATTTTACTCTCGATTTTAAAAAGTGATATATATTTAACGAAATCGTGTTTTAAGAATTAATTTAAACTATCGTGGGTAGCTCATTGGTCCAAAGAAGCTAGGGTAAAATGAGAGGGAATGGGTGTTCAAACTCCATGATAGTCACCTACCTTAAGGAATTAATTTCTAAAATACCATCTACTCTCCAATTTAAAAATCACATCATTTATTCAGCTTGTTAAATAATCATTTATTGGAAATTGATGATCCCCGTCTAGAAAATTTGGCACATTATTTTTTAACAATTTCATATGTTTTTTTCATTTCTCTTTCTTATTTATCAAAAATTTAATAGTGATCAACAAAAAATGGAGGATCACCTACGCATCAGAATCTAAGTATTTTTCAAAAGATATTTGACTTGCACTTATCAATGTTAGTTAAGATGAAAATCTTCCATGGCATTGCTTGATCTTGTAAGAGATTATTGTTAAATGATCTTTTAAGTCGGGAGCATTATTCTACTTTTGCATTCTTGTGTTTGGATGATTACGTGATAAGGAACATTTTGATAATCCATTTTGGGGAGTGATCACAACATTGAACAAAAAAAACTATGTCCAGTCTTTATAATAGAGGGATCCACGTATTATCCACATATATATTCAAAACGTTTCTTAACATTCACCATAATTTCATATTATAAATGCTAAAAAAATGTCATATATTTTATACTTATAATGTAGTGAATAAATGGAACATTTCAATAATATAAAACAAATTAAAGTTTCTCAAAGATACCTGATATATTGAGGATTTTTTTATTTTTCAAGTACAACACATGAAGCTAGAAATATAGATGTTTTAACCAGTTAAGTTATACTCGATTGATATATATTGAGAATTAGTGATACCATTCAAAAGTGACAGGATTTTTTTATTAAAATATATTGAGGTTTTCTTAAATCATATAATAGAGTTTTAATGATGATCTAAATTTTTGTGATCAAATGAATTGGCTTGATTTATTTTGCAATATAAATGAATAAATAGAAAAGATTTGAACTTTTCCCTCCAAACTCCAATTCCCCACTTGGGTATTCTCATTCAGGGAGGAACAAATTCAGGGGAAATTCAAAGTTAGCCCATTGCCATTCACGTCTCCATTAAAACTAGGTCGTGAAAATGGGCGGCAAGAGCATCGATCTTCTTCCTTTAATGGGGCATTTGGTGTCAGGAAAATGGCCTCCGTTTTCTTCCAAATCCTCCACCGATCCCTCCTGATTCACCTTCACAGGGTATGCCACGAGGTGAACCCCTTCCATGTCTGCAGCTTCTTCTCCGCTGTAAATTCTCCACGATTCGTCTGCTATTGAACGAACCCTTTGAACGCAATCCAAGGTTTCGGGGTTTAAGAACAGTTCTTCGAAGCGTCGCGTATGTTCATACCAAAGCGACAATCGGAATGTAGAAATGTCTCTTCCATTTGGCATCTCTTCTGCATCTTTTTCCTGTTGGAAGCATCCGATTGCAATTTCTGTGTCTCGCCCTCCGTCCATGGATCTCTGGTTTACGTTTGCCGATCCGATCAGAATGTACAAATCGTCCACTACAATGCAAACACCAACATGTTCATGGTTAGCTCCTAATTCTTCGTCATTTTTTGCTTCAAATCAGTGCAACTTCAATAATTATTGCACCCCACATCACTATTTATGGACATCAAATCGATATTTGTCTCGATGTTTATGTTCGTTAAAATGCCCCTTAGAAATGAGATTCTGAACACTAGTCTCACCTATCGCTGTTTATGGTTTATCAATTCAATATTTGTTTTGATGTTTATGTTTGTTGAAATGTTCCCTACATGTTTGTTAAAATGCCTCTCTGAAATTAGATTCATAAAATTTATTTTTATTTTTTAAATTCGTCTAATAATTCAAAGGTGTCTAAGTGTAAAAAGGATACAAAGAAATTGTAAGGAAACGAGCATAGTTTTTAGAAATGAAAAACTAAAAATTAAACCATCATCAAATAGAGTCTTAGTTCTACCTATCACTATTTATGGATTATCAATTCAACATTTATTTCTATGTTTATGTTTGTTAAAATGTCCTCTAGAAATGAGATTCAGAACAATTAAAGTCTTACCTATCATGACCTTGGAATGGACATAGACCATGAACCTCCTATGTTGTTGGGCATTCCAGTACTGAGTTGCTCGTTCAGGACTGTGCGGTGGAACAAAGTCCCATTCTCCCTCTTCTTCTCTGTTTGCAAGGCAAAAGAAATTCAAGTAGTCTCTTGGGTGGGCCTTCTCCCCAGTTTCTTGGATGGCTTCTCCAATAAGTTTATACATCATTTTCATTGTCTGCCTAGTCCAATGTAGCATTTCCGCAACTGATTCACTCTCTGGAGGTCCTTCTGGCCACATTGGTATCACTATATAAACTGCAAATCTCTCCCTTGCCTTGATCTTATTAGCCACCTTGAGTGCAATTTCGATCGGTATCAAATTCGTGCATCCGCAATGCTGATCTTTGTCCCACAAGTGGCACCCTCCTATGAAATATTGGTTTTCGATGTAAATAAATCTCTCTGCTCGCCTGATGGCTTCAACATAAGCTTCGTGGATGGTTCGTTCAACCGTCAAGTTTCTGAACACTTGGCTGGCAGACAAGTGGTCAATAGATCGAAAAACTTGCACGTTCCAATCATTTTGTGGGTTGGTGTTTGTTTCAAGCTGGGGCATCAGATTTAATAAGATGCTCGTGGGGACTAAGAGTGAAGCGTCTGATTGCTTAGTCCATCGTTGCTCGAAGTTTGTTAATATATCCCAAGCAGCCTCACCTGTTACACAAGCGTGAACATCATGCCATGGCTCTCTTGGCCCTCCTTTTTGAAGCTTGGCACCTGATATACTTGTCTGATAGAAATCACCGCAGTGGGATTCCATATTCAAAGTGTGGAACAACGAGTGTTGTTCGGTATCATAGCGACCATCACAAAGATCTAAACCCCCAATGAAACTCATAATCTCCCTGTTTCGTGCATTTATGTGTGCTTGAGCATCTACAGTTATGGTTTTCTGATGGTGAGAGAAAATTGGTGGGGCCATAGGGTGTAATTTGGGGCACAACCTACATATAACTTTCGAATGTGAGAAATATGCCCAAGCATCTTCGTCACGTGTTTTCATTATCCCGGCATTCTTGATGATGGGAAGGGATGTTGCATCGTCCCATATCATTATCCTCACAGCTACACCTTCCTCTGCCTTCTGCTTCAACAGCTCACCAAGCTTTACTCCTAAAGCATATGGTATGTCAGTCTGAGAATCCCTTACCTAATTAGCAGAAGTGTGTTAGCCGTTTACAACTGCAAAAAGTAGAGGAAAAGAAGTTGCTGATTACGAAAACGATTCGATTGCTTCAATTTACCAGCAACATCTTTGGATTGAAGGACCAGCCTGCAATGTAAATCAAATGCTTTGCATTATCTATGGCCTTGTATACATCTTCCCATAGCCTTCTTGGTGAACTCGAACTGTGAAACGGAGGTTGAAAAGTAGGGAGGTGGTGAGCATCTTGATATAGAGTCACATGACAATTGGACCTTAGAGGAAATGTTGCATTCCTCAGCCCTTTGTACTCTCCATTTCCTAGCATCTTTTTCCAGCTTAATTCGTATACAGCCGGTTTAAACCATAGCATGAATCGAAGTCTGAGCTCCGGGCTAGGCTTCCCATTTTCCATAGTAAGCGGGAAGAAACCATTCATGAAACTTGCTTCTTTCAAAATCTGTTGGGCTTGGATGTGGAATTTACCCAAGACAGAACGAGATGTTTTCATTGTAATGGTGACTGTAGAAGTTGATGGATACGCACAAAGAATTTGGAATGTCTGGTTCCAAACACGGTCGTATTCATGGCTCGTCTGGGCAACCTCTTTGTTATCTATCTTGACAGTCACATAGGTTCGCCTTCCTCCTGAAAATAAGCACTGCAAAACAGAGCAAAACAAAGGTAAGACCGTGCAAAAAAAAGAGCTGTTTTGATCACTCTCTATGTTATTATTTAATAACTTTTTGTCTGCTATTTACTGAAAAACTGTGGTTACATTCTTATGATCCAGAACTTACATCCAGAGGCGATGGTGGTGTGTATGCTGTCGCATGGAAGACGGTAACTTCAAGCGTGCCGTGGAAGAACATCTGCTTTCCCTCCATTTCCATAACTCAAAACAATTTTCTTGCGGAGAATGAATGGAAAAGAAGGGGAGAAAATGACAAGTTTTTATCCAGGAATGAGTTGTATACTGCATAGTCTCTTATATAAGGTTGGATATAAGTCAGCTGCTACATATCAGGTGTTGCAATTACATAAGCAAGGACTAGGAGAGCTAGCTTGGAATTCAATGCAAAGGGTCTGTTTGGCAGTTGGAAAAACTTGTGGAATTTTCCATGTCAATCTTAGAGGTAACTCTCTGCTCCACTATTTTATGCTTCAAGCCCAAGTCTCTTCAACTCCAATCACATTTCCATTCCTTCCCCTGAAAAACATGGAAATATAAATAATGTTCTGTCTTATTTACTAGCTGGTCACTTTTTTCCATTTTCAACTTATGTTTACATGACTTATTTTTACCGTTCTACTCGCAAACATTTCTGAAACAAAGAAGAGTTTGTTTTATGTTAAAAGAATACGTTTCGTCTTTGTATTTTCACTGAAATAACATCTAGTTCTTGAACTCTAGCTTGTAACAATTTACTTTCTATACTTTCAAATTAGTAACAATTTAGCTGTTGAATCTTAGTAGGTAAACCATTTACTTCTTGGAATCTAAAATTTGTAATGATTTAGTTCCTACCATGAAAAATTTCATCAAAATTAAGTGTTAATTTTTATTATATAACGATTTAGTCTTTGTAATTTTTAAATACATTTGGTCCTTTATTAGTTTATCGATCAACATATATTAGAATCCTTATTAAACTTAACAAAATTTTCTACTGTAGGGACTAAATCGTTACAAACTTTAAATTACAGGGAGAAACTGCATTATTACATATTAAATTCAAGGGCTAAATTGTTACCAAGTCGAAAATACATGGACTAAATCGTTATAAATTAAAGTTCAGAAATCTGTCATTCAATTAAAATACATGGACCAAATGTATTTTTTTAACCTTGTTTTATTTTTCCCCTTGGAAGCTACTATCAATAATTTTGATATGACACCATTGCTTGTGGTGCAATGCTTCCTTTGATCATTCATTTCTGACATTTTTGCTTAATGAAAGAAATAATTAGTGGGAAATTTTCATACATGTCTTTGTATGATATCACATTTACCAAATTGGTGCTTGTGTACACAAATTCTATTTGTCTTTCTTATCAGATCAAACAAGTGGTTGGTTTATGTAATTGTCTTTAGCATCAATTATTTCCTGCCACTTTTTAATTTTTAATATTTTTACAAGATTATTATTTATTGATAAAACTACAATTAAATTAATTTGAACAAAGAAATATATCATGGAGCAATATTGAATATTGCTTTTAATGAAAAGACATATAGATTAGGTTTTGGAATTTGTAATGGATAGTAAAAATATTTGCTATGTTTGAAAATATTGCACAACGTTTGAGTTGTACTGACAAAATATTTGAAATTTAATTTTTATTTTTTTTAGTTATTCCAATTTTATCCTTCTAGTGTATTAAATCAAGTATATCATTGTTTGGATTCCATGTTCGTTAAAAATATATTAGATTTTTATTTTCTTCCACATTCTGATTTTACTGCTTTTGAAAAATTGAAAAAAAAAGTTATTTTTTTTAAAATTCTTATTAATTTTTTGCTACTTTGAAGCGTCTCTAAATTCTGTAATGGGATGGGTTCTATATTGGATAATTACTAAAGTGTCCAAGCCCAATATTTTAGGTCCAATTTTAGCCAAGTTGGGCTTTGTAAACTCCTAAAATCTTCATACAAAATAAAATGGCCATTTTTAAATGGCAATACTGAAAGATGATTTGTTGAGAATTTCTACCATATTGATTTGATATGATCATAAAGTTTCTCGTGATTAAATTCATAAAACAACTCCAACTTTTGGTCATGGAAAAAGTTTCTATTTGAACTTTTCAAGAATCATTATTTAGTAATGATTATTTATTATTAATATTATCTTGTTCTTTTTTAATATAAGATCAAGATTAAAGGAAAGAATCGTTCACATTTCCAATTCTTATGTCCCCACCTTATTTCATCTCATGAGCACAAGAAAATAAAAAGGCCGGACAAGATTCGATTTGAAAAGTAAGAGTTAGATATAATTCAAAATATAATAATTTTAGTGAGAATATTTAAATTAGAAACAGAAAAACGAAAAAAAAAATTAAAAATGTTTGACATATGAAGAGTGAAAAGGAAAAAATGAATTTTTTTCTAGAATATATAATAATTGAAAGGAAACAATAAGAATGCAACATGGGAAGTCGGGAAAGTTGTTTATTTCCATTTGGTATTTTCCCCATTAAGTTATATATTTTGAAAAACAAAACAACAAGGACTATATTTCCAAAAACATGTGCCGATATTTTCAGAAAAGGGCCAACTAATTTTTTTTTGTACAAATGACACTTTTCTTTTTGACGTATACTTGAGGAGCTATAAGCTACATGTACGGAGTGTTTGGTTTCCATACTCGCCCTCGTAAAATTAATCATGAAATTTTGTAGAGATCGAAGTCGGAATTTTCTTTCCCACAAAAATTGTTCTCCATTTATTTTTTTTCAAGAGAAAAGTTAATTCTTTTGATCTAAAACTTCATTTTCATTTGGAAATTGAATAGTTAAATTTCCATGAGTAATCCGCATTTGGAAAAGAAAGTTGTTAAATTTCGTCAAAGTTTGAGAGTGACGAATGAGAGTGTGAGCATGGGAGCTAAGAGAGAGGAAATGAAAAATGAGGGAGGGAAGGAAAAATCTAAGGAAACTATAAAGAGGTTGGGTAGAATTAAGAGAGCCTCATTAGAGTTTTTTTTTTCTTAATTAGAGTTTTGTTGAAAACTAAAAAAAAAAAAGGGTGGGGTAAAATGTCCCCCGTCCTCACCCTAGACGAAAAAGTAACATCTCTATCTACATGCTACTTCTTACCTCGCTCTTCTACACATGAAGCTTTTTTCATTTGCTCTCACTAATAATCAAAGTTTTAAATGTCGATGTCGATGGAAATGTCGAGTTCTCAAGTTGATGGAAATATCGATAAAATATTGATGTCGATAGGTATTTCTGTAAAAGTTAGAAAAATTTAAAAAATCGTAAAAAATATTTAAATTAACGAATAAACATTTTTCTATTTCTAAATTAGTTAAAAATAATTAATATTAATATTATGCATATATCAGTGACATTTTGATGTTATTTCTCATATTTTTATCGACTTTCTTGTAATAAGACGAAAATGTCGATATATCCGTAAAAATTATATTAACAAAAGTGGAATATATCAAGTTGTGTTGTAGCACTTGAAAACGTGTCACATGAAATCAATAGACAAGTCCGTTGCATTCGACCCTAGTTTTTCTGTCTTTTTCTTTTTGGTTACTTTTTTGTTTTTCAATCAAGATAACACCTTAAAATCAATCCCAAATTTATGTTTTTTTTTCAACCAATGTGACTTACCCTGCCCATTTTAAAAATGTTCTCGAGAAAAATTATCGATTTTATAATTCTTTTTAATTATTTTTAGAATTTAAAAAATAAAAAAAGTGTAATAATATATATTAATTATTTAAAAAATGGAATCGATGATGGGATCGGGACATACATTTTTTATTTTCGAGGCCCGACTCTACAGAAATTTTTTTCATCCCTAATGTAGAGACATGAAAATACAAGTTTAAGGATATATAAATAAACCTTTGGAAGATAAATTCTAGAGAGATAAATAAAAAGATTTAGAAAAAAAAAATTATTGAAAGAAAAGTTAAAAACAAAAAGAGAAAATTTTTAGAGAAAAAAGTAAGATTCAAGAGGAATAGACATTTTAAATAAAAAATAGAAAGAAAGAAAAAAATTATAGTGGAAAAAAATTTAAAGATAAAAACAAGATTCAAAATATAATTTTTAAATAAATAAATACATACATAAATAAAAGTTAATTGAACGAGAAAAAAATATATAATTTTCAGAAGAAAAAAATAGATTAGGAAGAGAAACAAAAGTTATAAAGGACGAAATTTTAGAGAGAAAAAAGTTTAGAAAAATATTAAATTTTTAGAGGGAGGAATGAAACTGATCTGTTGGAAAAAAAATAAAAAATAAAAATACTAAGAGATTAAAATTTTGGAGAGCCCAATAATAATAAATATTCAAAATATTAAAATTTGAGAGAGAGAAAAATAAATTTTGTAGGGAGAAATTTAGAAAGAAAAAAAATTTTAGAGGGAAAAAGTTTTTAGAGATAAATATGAGAAAGGAAAAAAAAAGTTGAGTATTAGAAAAAATCAGATTTTTGAAAATTCTTTTGTTCTAAATTTACTTAGAATTTCAAAATTGTTTAAAAAAAAACAGAAAATGGATTCGGTTATCCAACNCGAACCCTAAATGACATAAATGTCGAATAAACCATAATCAAAAGATAAAAACTACTATGTAATTCAATCATTTTAATACCCATAATATTGCGCCAAAGTTATTAGATTTGTTGCAAAAACCATATCATCAAAACATACAACTTTGTGCCAAACAAATCTAATTCCAAAGTGATTAACCATAAAAAGTAATCAAAACTACCAAAAAAAAAAAAGTTTTTTCTTGATCCAAATTGAAATCAATGATATTCCAACATTGGGATCTTTAGAAAGAAGAAAAAAGGGTTTGTCCAAATTTTCTTGTAATATCCCAAACATTGGCTAAGCTTCTTGCTGGCTTTCTTGGGCTCTTCTTTGCCGTCTTCTTATTATAATTGCCCTTTGAGTCCCCACCAAGGTTAGTGTGGTCTTGTCCGCACTAGATTCCAACCCATATCTTGTTTCAAATAGTGGTTGGATCTAATAGAGGAGGGAATCACCTATGCTCACCTCCATCAGATGCCTCTATGGACTCTCCTCAATCTTATGCCCAAAAGTTGGTTTTTGTGATGGTCCATACTTTTTCAGCACTTTCTTAGCATGTGAAATTATTGATTTGTTTTACGGCAAATTATGAAGATACCCTTTTCTCCCAATTATTTTGGATGGATTCTTCCGGAGGTGTAATCAGTTTCGATTTGACTCAGTCATAGGGTCGAATCAAAGTTGAATCGATGATAAAAGAAGAAATTCCACAAAAATTGAATTATGTTAAGCAAATAAAACGTTAGTTTGTCAGTTTCGTCTAACAGTTTACCATTTAGAATGTTCAAGTCTGTTTTCATGAAAATTGGGACTTGGGAGAATAGGAGTCTTCCGTAAACACATAATGCATTTGGTATTGGGAGAGATAGGGCTGTGTGCATCTTGCGTCTACTGTCTTTGGGTTGACTCAAGTCATGCTGGGATTTTATGTTTTTTTTTTATCAACGTTAAAATTTCTATCCAAATTATTAAGTCATCGTATACTATTTACATGGATTAAAAGAACTTCTAAAAAGTAAGGAAAAGAATTTGCAATGATATAGTTAAGTATAAATATGGAAAATAAAGTGATAACAAAATATATATGAAAAGTATAATGTTTAAAACTGAACAAAAAAAATTAATATATAAGTATACCATTTTAAATAAAAAAGATTATCAAATGCAGTTCTTAATATTTTAATTAGTCGTCTAAATTCCTAATAAAAAATGCAGTGGAAATAATTTTTTCGAGTGAGGGAGAAAAGGAGCCACTAATTTGAATCTTCAAAGTCTTTCAACTACAAAATAAATTCAAATAATTGAAGTTATTTAAGCAATTTGAATTAATTAGTTTCGACAATAATATAACAATATTAAATCAATTGAATTTAAATTAAAAAAAAAAAAACAAATCAAGTAATCAATCATATTCAAAACAGATAAGAAATGTTCTAAAATAAGCTAATGCCATTTGATAATAAATTTCCAGGAATCAATTCGACTTTTTTAATATATAAATCAATTAAAATATATAGAGTAATTATTCTAAAAGAAAATTAAAAATTTTAGGAGCAAAATATATGATAAGTTTCTTTGACATTTTTTGTTGCTTAAGCCACGTCTCAATGCCACGAGGGCTTTTCACAACCGTTAAGCAACCAACTTCTTTTAAAAACCATATGTTTCATATTATATTTCTCAAAAAGAAAAAAAAAACATATAATGACATTGATTACTAAATTGATTGTGATCTAAATTTTTACAAGTCAGAGCTTAGTTTATTCATTCTAAGCTATCAGTAGTCGAGTTTTAACCAATTTAAGATTTATTTTCAGGTTGTTGTGGCTTAATAAGCTTATTAAATAATTTTTGACAATTATAGTAATACGAAGTATATTAGTGTCTAGCAAATTCCAGTTCTAAAAATGAAAAAATTATGTCACAATGTTTGGTAAATTAATATTAAACTCGTGTAATTTAGTTATAATGACTAGTTGATATTTAATTTCAAGCTCGATATAAAATATATATATATTAATTTTAAGATTGGTTAAAGGACAATTATTTAAATCATAAATTATATTTTATTTATTTTAAATTATTCGATAAAAGTTAACAAAAATAGTTGTTATAAAAAATTGTCTAAAAAAAAGTAGTGTATATATACACACTTATTTAAAAGTTTGTCTTAAATTCTTAAGGTTAATTTTGAAATTGCTCTTAATCAAATTTTATAATAAGATTCCTATTTAAATTCACAAATAATCAACTTTTTCTATGCACTTAAAAATGGTTAAAATTCTTGTACACTTACCTCTAAGGCTTCAAATCAATTCCAATCTAATACAGCAATCGATATCGATTAAATTACTATTATTTTACCGTTTCTTAACATTTAATCTTATTTAAGTATATATTTTAATTTCTAAACATTAAATAATTTTAAACTAACCATATTTTAATTTCTAAACATTAAATACTTTTAAACTAACCAACTATAACATTAATTAAATTTCAAGATAGTGGTTAACCATTAGCCCCATGAAACCACTCTTTAAATTTCAAACTCATATTTACGACATAAAATTCAAAAAAAAAATTATTAATTCAATCTCTTACGTTTTAACCATTTATAATTGTACCCTTCACTCAAATTAGCCGACAAGAAGCTTATGACATGATAATTACTTTGTTTTTTTGAACATGATAATTACTTTTTTTCGCTCACACCGTGAATTTTCATTGGTAAATAATTATATATGTATTATATTGATTTTTAATTTATAATAATAAAAAATAGAGTTTTAATAACTGGGATCCACTTCGGCAATTTATTGCCCTCTTCTGCCGTCCGACTCTGCTTCAGATCCCCCAATCATTTTCCTCTTCTCTGTCAATTCCAAATTCCCCCAAAACCAGTCAAAACCCTTCTCCGGCTCCGGCGACGATGACCAACTACGGCACCATTCCGACTTCCTCCTCCTCCTCCTCTCCCGGCGTCGCCGCCAACCTCGAGTACATCTCCCGCGCCAAACAGCGCTTCAAAGACGGCCTCGGCCACCGCCGCCCATGGAGGCTCATGGCCGATTACCGCTCCTTCACTCTCCCTTCCAACCTCCACGACACTCTCGCTCGGATCAGAACCAATCTCTCTTACTTCCGTATGAATTACGCCATCGTCTTCCTCGTGATTCTGTTCTTCAGCCTCCTCTGGCATCCGATTTCCCTAATCGTCCTCGCCATCATGATGGCCCTATGGCTCTTCCTCTACTTCCTCCGCGACGAGCCTCTGATTCTCGTCGGCCGCGTGATTGAAGATTGGATCGTTCTCCTGATTCTGTCGCTCCTCACCATCGGATTCTTGTTCTTGACAAACGCCACGCTCAACATTGTGATCGCGCTGCTGATTGGTGCCGTCCTCGTGGTCGCGCACGCCGCCGTGAGGAAGACGGAGAATCTTTACTTGGACGAAGAAGCTGCTGGATTGATTGTGCCTGGATCGTGATCGTAATCGCAACTACTGCTACTGCATCTTCATCTTGATTTGTAGAGGTTATTCCATCTTCTTCTTCTTCGATTTCTTTTCCAATTGAAAATTGATGAAATCATGTAGTTCTGTTCCGTTCTGTTCGATTTCTGCTTTCCAATTCCACTTAATTTTTCATTTTTGTGATCAAAATAGGGTTTCTCTTTCTTTCTTTCTTTTCTTTTTCATTTTTCTTTTCTGATTCTCTCTGGTGACAGTTTATGTTGAGTTGTAATTGTTGACTCTTTTTTTTCGCTTGATTTTGATTTGTGATTTCAATGTTGAATTGGATAACCCAACTATATCTCCTTTTATTCACTCTAATTACAATTCAGTTTATGGAGTCATGCAACTAACCTTTTTGTTTTCTTCATTTTAATATATTTGATGAATAAATTTAACTTTTTTTTTTCCATCACTTTTGGTTTAATACTTTAATTCTCATTCTGTAACAATATAATAACTCTTAAAATCTCAATTTCAGTGATTTAGATTTCAATTTTATATTCTTGTCAAATATTCTATTTGCCTCACCTATCAACTTTGTATAAATATTTGTTATTCATTTCTATGGTTAGTTTTATATTTCTATTAAACAACTTTAATTTAACCTTAATTATTCAATCTAAATCTAGATTTTTACTAATTTACACATAGACTTTAAATAGTATGTATAACCCCTTCTTTTTCTAAAGTCCAAGTTCAAATCTCCGCTCATACCTTTTCTTTTATGCTCCCAAAAAAGTTCAAAGATTGGTAAACAAAACAAAACATATAGGTCTATATTAAGTTTTTAATTTCAAGTTTTTATGAGAAAGTTTTACCAGTTGATTGTCTCTTCCTCAGTTTGCAAAAAAGGGCGATGATCTTTATGCTCCCCATATTTTAGACAAATATATTTAAAAAAAATTGTATTTTGGTCATTAATGGCGGAAATAACAAGGGGGCCTAATAAGACTCTCTCTCCTTTGCAGAATTTTCTTGTTTAGAAAAATGTTAATAACAATGCAATTAAGATAAACCTATCATTTGTTTAATTAAGATTTATAATTTTGTATTAGTAGTGGATGCAATATCTAAACAATTATATATATCATTTAGATATGATTTAGTTCAAGGTGACTTTGTCCAAACATCCATCCCTCCCTGTATTTAGTTTTTTAAAAATCAACCAATTTAGTTCCTAACAACTATAGTTTCTAAGTTTCACGTCCTCTCGGATTGGCTATAATTTAATCTCTATGTGAACTCTTTTTTTTTTAAGATTTAATAAAGTTTCTTATATAGGTAGTAGATAAAAACCAAATAAAAAATAACAAAAAAGAAAATTGTTTGAATAAGGAAAGAGAAGACTACTATTTTGTTTTGTGCTTTACTAGATAAGGTATATATACTAAGAGAAAAGTCTATTCGACAATGTTTACCATGAAAGTTACTGAAGATCCTTGTTCTTATCAAACTCTACCTTCCAAGTCGTTCATCAAGTATATGAATTCTCTATAAATAGAAAATTAAGAGGACTTGCAGATCCTTACACCCAAATACATACCCACTTATGTGATACAAAAATCACACTTAACTTTGATGAGTTTTTTCATAACAAGGATTAAACTGTTACAAATTTTAAGCTATGAGGACTAGATTGTTACATATTACATTTAAGGACTAAATTGTTACCAATTTGAAAATACAATAACTAAAGTGTTACTTCACTAAAAACATAGGGACCAAATGTGTTTTTTAACGAAACTTTATGACATCTTGTTATATCACATGATTGTATATACAGAATTCTTACATTCAATAATATGTCTTATTATCATTGTCCACAGAGCATAATTCAACTCGTTAATAAATTACTTATCTCTCCAAAATCAAAAGCTCAGATCTCTCTGCTCGTTGAATGGAAAAAAAATACAATTATTGTTAATCGTACATGTTTCTCAAGAAGACGAGGGATCTCTTCCCTGAAATAGAATCGAGTGCAAAATATCTTTAAGAATTTCTTTTTAAAATAATAGTGAGGCTCTCAAAACATRGTATCATAAATTAAAAATGGAGTAACATGAGCGTAAAGGGGACATCATTACTGACAACTAAAATATACATATCATATTTGCTTTTTTTAAAATAAAAAAATATAATATAAATTAATGTGGATCATATTGCAAGTTACATCGTCTAACTCTTCACGATTATCGAAGTTTGATTTAATTGTATGGCTATTAATCATTGAGGCCTTCTCCCATCTCCTCTGCCGTTCAAATTGAATGGTTAGCAATTATTGCTACCCTTCATTTTAATTCTTAACTATTTTAATTTGTATTTTCTATCTACTTTTGAAGAAAATGTTCTGTTTTATTAAAAAAAGAAAAGAAAAGAAAACAGTGAAATGTTAGGAAGTTTTTAGTTTGAAGTCTTTCGGAAAGTTGAGCACTCCAATACAAAGTAATGCAAAGTAAAGTGATCTCGAACTCGAAATCATGCAAACATTRTAAAATACAACCAAACAAGCATAAGAACGTACTAATAACATGCAATTAGCAAGAACTAGTTGATTTTGGACTTCTAAGATAAAAGGAGAAAGTTGAGACTAAAAGAATTCATTTTCTCCACGGAGATCTATCTTGAACGGGATAGAGAATTCTCATGGAATGAGGATGGAGGATATTTTGGGCTCGGCCTTGTTCCACCTCCTTTTTAAAAAATAYACATATCTCATAGAAATAAGATGAAATATCATTATGCTTTTGTTATTGTTAAGTGGTCCTTTAAATGTCATGAATTAATCAGGTAAATAGAGATTTATTATTGAGAATTAAGCATTTAATTAAAAATTATTTAAAATAATAAGCGAAAACTAACTAGTAGCAGAGAACCTGATCTCCACAAATTTCTGACGTGAATCAAAGATGGAGATTGAAATGGGAGGTGAGACGCGCCCGTGAATACCTCAAGAACAGCTTCCTTGATTTGG